GGGATGAGGGGAAAACACGAGAGATACATTACAAGTGGTGAAAGTGCCGAAGATGATCCGTGAAGCTCGGAGGTTGCGGAGCTTACGGAGGTGGGGTTGAAAGTCTGAGGAATATTGGCAATGGTGTTTACGTAGTATGAGGTCACCAATGCAATGGACTAAGGCTGAGGTGGAGTCAAAGTCCGAGGTAGGAACTATGATGGAGGCTCAGAGCAAAGGTACGAGCGGTGTCTGAGTACGAAGTACGGGACAGTGGTGGAAGGTCGTAACTTGGTGGGAGGTTGGCGGAAGAGGACCAGAGGGAAGAGAGAGGAGAGAGGGAAGAGGGAAGGAGTGGTGGAAGGGAGAGTTGTCAGGTCCGAAGGTGAGTATCGGAGTGGATGGGAGAGAGTAGGAGGGTGATGGAAGGGTGGAGGTATTTGTGAGGAGGGAGCAGAGGAGTGGGAGGAGGAGTAGTAGGAGGGTGGCAAGAGGGGTGGTGTTTGGTCCGAAGTGGGTATCGGAGCGGACAGAGATAGGACAGGAGAGCGACGGAGGAGTGGAGGTGGCATGGGAGGTGAAAGGAGGTGTGGTGCCAGGACCGAAGGTGAATATCGGAACAGACAGCGGTAGGGTAGGACTCCGGAGGTGGTGAAGAAGGAGGTCTGGGAGTCGGGTCGGGATCAGGTATGCACGGATATGACAGAGCACCCAAAAACCAAATTGAGCATCCAAGTCCAAAAACCACCCTGTAACCCTGGCTCAGCCTATAACATTGAGTTATCCAAAAAGACTTGTGTCCAAAAAGGTATTTTCTGTTTTTCTCAATAGTTTATTGGTCAATTCAGTCCCAAATTATATATTTTGGAAGCTATTCAAATGGGCTATACATTGGTGTGGGGTCCATGGGAAACAGTCCTGACACCTCTCTTGTCATATCCATCCACAGCCATCCATGGCCATCGTTTTCCACCACCTCCAACCCTTCTGGACTACCTCCACTCCTTCTTCACTATCCTCGGAGCTCCCATATCCCACAATCACCTCCGCCTCCCTCGATGGTCACCACCCCCTCTTTTCAATATATTACCTACGCCTCCCTAAGTGTGGAGCCCCGAAGGCTTCTGGACAGCTCTGACGTCTGCTAGTGCACTCCTGCCTCTGCTGAGCAATTCACTTGCTTGCCCTGCAAGTCCACCTTTGGGCCTATCCCTCCCTTCCATTTCTGGGTTATCACCTGCCATTCCACTAACCCTGTAACCCGACTTGTCGGTAATATTCAGTCAGCTAATGTTTAACCCTGTTAGCTCCACTCCGCTCAGTCCTGCCATTCATGGGCCTGCCCTCACTGTAACTATATATACTTAACTTGTACATAGGTTACACCTCAGTGATAAAATCGACTAGAGTTGATCCCTCTTTAGTTCTTGTTGCAAGTAAGTAAATTAGGACATGGATGTGTAACTTGGCACAGTGCTCCTGGTCCGAGTTGCTGAGGCCGAAGCCCTCCGCCACAGAGACAACTCCTTCGTCTCGATCCGGTCTCTAACACCTCTGGACAGTGCCCAGCATTGTGCACAGACAGTGAGTTTGGATACAAGCATTTTCAGACTTGTGTCTAAAAAAGTATTTTGTGTCAGGAATGTGTCGGATGCGTATCTGGATGATCCGCAAGGTGTGCGAAGTTGTCTGGGCTCATAAGGTCAGAGGGGTGGGACTTCAGCTTCAGTGACTTGGGTGGAGCACTGCACTTCGTTCTTACATTGTTGTCCCAATTTCAGACAGGAGCCTTACAATGTAGAGAAGAGACAAGGGGGGATCCATTCCAGGTGTTGGTTACTCTCCGTGTAATTTACAGTGGAATACCCTAGTTCTGACTCATGTTTTTTACCGATCACGCAGCAGTATTGAGTCGATATACGAACTGAGGTACATCCAGTGTAACCTACATGCGTTATAAGCACAACAAACTAAATAGGGCCGGCCTGGAAGGAGTGGCAGATCAAGCATGATATTAATGAATGAAGAAATAGACAAATGGTTAATATTGGCAAACTTGGTCAACAAAAGGCGAGCGGGGAATAGTGGGTGGCAAGGGGGGAGCAGTGGTCCGCGGGTGAACAAAAGAGAAAAGACCATCTGGCCATCTAGCAAGCTGTCTGGCTGGTGGGTGGACAACAATGAACCACTCAAATGGGCAACCTTGGTTGGAAGGTACGCATGTGGGGAGAAAGTGTGGATGAGGGGTGATGGGTGGATGGACAGATGGACAGATGATGATAGCAGTGGGTGGGACAGGCCAAGTAGCACTAGGACATGTTGATGGAAGTGATGGATATGCCAGGTCGTGACATTTTGTATTTTTCTCAATCCTTTATTGGTCAATTCAGTCTTAAATTATATATTCTGGAAGCTATTCAATGGGGCTATCCAACTATCTAAAGTGTGTCTAGACTGTGGGAAAGAGTCTTAACACCCCTCTGGACAGCAGCTGGCAATGTGCACAGACAATGAGTCTGGAGTCCAATAACCACAAAATAACAATATAACAATAGTATGGATGACTTCACTACAATACAATAATTTCAATTGAAGGAGGCCCCTGACCTTAGAATGCCAAATGTTTATGAACAAAAGTGCAATTTATGGCAATAGCAATATCATCACTTTCACTTCTTGACATTTCCAATAGGGGACTCAGACAGGTGAAGGGGCCAAAGGGACTTGCAAGCAGTTCCAACAAACAGCAAAAGATTACCACCCTGTCAAAGGAGATCTCAGAAGAAGAAGGGGACCAAATGTACTCAGAAGAAGGCTGCCACAGAAGGCAAGTTTATTGCTGAGTTTCGTATCCTGGACCATTGGCCTGAATTAGAGCTCATGTTGCCAAACACTTGTGATTCCACCTCTCCTCCTCCCAACCCCACCATCTCCACAAGGGCTGTACTAAATCTCCCAAGCTTGGACTCGTTGGACTCGCCTTGACAATAGCTTTCCAACGATACTGGATCCATCTGGATCAGAGAAGAACTGGGGGAGAAAGTGGCCTGATATGGAAACTAACATGTGCCAGTCCTGAGAGTGATGATAGCATTGGCACTTGTCCAAGAGGACCTCCATATTCTGCAGTCAAACCAGTCTGGAAAGTGCTGACAGTGTCGGCAGGACCTCCATATTGGGTGGCAGTGCAATTGGACCTGGTCAAGAAAGTGCCGACAGTGTCAGCACTTTGTCCAGAGGACCTTCATAGTGGGTGGCAGTGTAGTCAAACTTGGTCCAGAAAGTGCCAACAGTGTCAGCACTTTGCCCAGAGGACTTCCATATTGGGTGGTGGTGCAGTCAGATCTGGTTCAGAAAGTGGTGACACTGTCAGCACTTGTCCAAGTGGACCTCTATATTGGGTGGCAGTGCAGTCACACCTGGTCCAGAAAGTGCTGACACTGTCAGCACTTGTCCATGTGGACTTCTATGTTGGGTGGTAGTGTAGTCAGACCTGGTCCAGAAAGTGCTGACAGTGTCAGCACTTTGTCCAGAGGACCTCCATGTTGGGTGGCAGTGCAGTTAGACCTGGCACTTTGCCCAGAGGACCTCCATAGTGTGTGGTTGGTTGCAGTCAGACCTGGGCTGACACTGTCAGCACTTTGCTGTGTAAGACCTCCAATCAACATCAGCACCTCCAAAGTCTGACCCCCAAGGTCGAGCATTCAATGAGCATCCCAGTCCAAAAAGCATCCTATAACCCAATCAGACAACTTATCCTGGGGATGTTTCACAGTGGACTCACATCTCTAGAACAGCAAAGCACATGGGTGGATGTGGGGCTCAAAATAAGCAGGAAGGCCCATGTTCTTCACTGGGATGCATCAGAGCACCACCAAATTCTTCAGGTCCTTGCCACAGGGTATCAGGGGGACGTGGAAAGACAATGGACACAGCCTGGAAGGGAGGGGTATTTCTGTGACATTCAAGCAGGAATCCTATCTCTGGCTGGAGGACATTGTGCATTGCCTCATCTCCCCCGCTTACCCATTTATGCACAATGGTATGCATCGGAGAAGTGTCAGGGCACACCCACCTGACCCTGCTCCACCTGGCCCAGACCCACCTGATCCCATTGTCCTCCACCCGGTACCTCTACCCTCCCCCTACCCTGCTTCCTCCCTCCTCCCTTCTTTCTTCTTCTTCCTTTCTTCTTCCCTTCTTTCTTCTTTCCTTGTCCTTCTCTTCTTTCATTACACAGATGATTTTCCCTATATCAATGTACCATTGACCCGACTGCAATGTAACACGCCCAGACCCGGGTGCACCAGGCAACTTCCTGTGCACTGGATGTTCCTAGGATCTCTCATGGAGATACCCAGATGGGCATGGCTGTGACTGTAGATGACATGGTGTCTCCCACATGGCCTCAACTGCATGTATATAAACATAGCCTAAGTGGGAACTGAGAAGTAGCCTTCTTCTCACATTTCCCACTTCAGCCTGAGTGGCCCATGCATGCCCACATCACACCCTACTGGGCCCTCAGCACTGGGTGATACACCTGGGCACTCTCAACCCTGGGTCAGTCCCTGACAAGAAGGCAGTTTGTAGGAGAGCTGACAGGTTTGACCCTATGCTGGGAATCACCAAAAAGAATGTGTTTGGAGAAAAAACCAAGGATAAACTGAGAGTGGAATTTGATAATCTGGAGGAAGTGTGGAATTCAGCTCATCATGAGAGGATGGAAGGGATGGCAAGATTGGAGATATGCATTCCCCTTCAAAAAGCCAAAAATTCCCTGAGAACAGTGACAAAGGAGTTCATCGAGCAGTGCACCATCTCAGTGCCTGCAGATCAGTGGTGGTGAGTCTGAAATTGCTGTAATATGGAAGTGGCTTACTGTTGAAACTAGGCTATTCAAGCTTCTGATGGCTCATGCATGTCGTCAGGTCATTGAGGCTCAGATGAATGGGACCCCCTGGTCTAGACTGGCATGACATGCTCTGGAGCTCAGTGCTGCACTCACATGGCAGATCAACATGCTGAACAGGAGACCAGCAGCAGGTTCATCAGAGCACCAGCTCATGTGTGCTTCCCTCCCTGTCACTGACAACTTCTCCCACCCAGATCTGTTAGATGGATGTGACAGGAATCCATGGAGGGCGCAGGTGGAAAATGAAGAATACTGCCCATTTGCCTTGGGAAATGTCATCTGGTTCAGGGACATTGATTACAACCTGAACATGACAGATGATTGGCATAAGCCAATTTCCCCTGGATTCAAAGCATGAGCCACACTTGGATTGGGATGGCATCGGCTACTGCTAGATCAGTATCTCAAACACCTCTCCAGCTTTACCATTGACAAGCTCAAAAGAATACTTTCAGCTACCCCCTATGTCACACCACCTGCTCCTTTCTGTCTACCAAGACCTAACCACACACTTCCACTGGATCTGCTGGAATCACTAGATGAGCTGCTAGCAAATGCTCATATCAAATTGAAGGAGAGCGCTACCAAGCACCTGAAGGATTCCTACTCTTTCCCCAACTCCAATAACAGTGATGGGGTCCCTCAGCTCGTTCAAGGGACCACAAACCTGGTATTGACCAAGAATATCCAGCAGATCCTGGACTTTTACTTTTCCAACATGCTGTAGACCATCCCTGTCCCCCAGATGCAATCCCCAGAGCTGTTCTACCATACTGTCCATAATCCAGACAGTCCAGTTGCACACCCTGGTATAGGGTACTTTAAAGAACCAGATCTTTTCTGCAGTGGATTCACTGGAGCTCACATCAGGAAGCGCAACCCCCCAGAGTTCCATGTAGCATTCCAGCTCTCTTTCCCACCAGCTGACCTGCAATGGGAAGAAGCAAGGATGAAGGGGACATACAATAGGGAGAGGAGAGAAGGCCAACCCATGAGATATGGGGATGGGAGAGAGCAAGGGTGGATACAGTACAAAAATGGTGGTAGGGGTTGGAAGCGGCATTTGTTTCATGCTGCCTGGTGGGAATTCATCTGGAGATTCGACTGTAATGGTGGCAATCGTATTAGGGAGAAGGTCTGGAAGAATGTGTACTCCAAACTTGTTTGGGCATCCGATTCTGACCTTTCACAAATGTGGTACACAACATCCAATGCCAAAAGTGCAGAGACCTTCCCTGCAGATATGGCAGGTCAAAGGCTTCCCATAATCATTCTCAATCCTTTGATCGATGATAAGGCTATGTGGGATGGATCTTGGATTAGGAGGGGGGAATGGGTGTCACCCACCCTGTAACATGAAGCCTTGTCTTATCATTATCATTATTTGTTATATTATTTGTTATAATTTTGCCAGTTTCAATTTCATTATCATTTTTTCATGATTGGAGAGTGGGAGAGCCACTCTGGCCTTGGGGCCCCAGGGAAGCAAGACAGGGGCCAGCTGGATCGTAGTGGGGTCCCAAAACTCAGCCAAATAGTCGAAAATGTTTGTGAAGAGCCCCAGGGAGATTCAGTTCATGCATCCAACCCACCTATCAAGACTTCATTCACAACGAGGTGCTCAGTATACAACAAGTTTTGGTCACTTGAAAACATGGGGAGTGGATGATTCCCATGTCCACACTCACCCCACCTTTCTGCCTGACAATCCTGACATCCATGTGTGCGTTTCGGCGGCAAAATATAAGATCGAAAGAGGAGAATTAGGCTTATTTTTCTGCTGAGTTTTATACCAAACGGTGCAGTATTGACAGAGATATGAGGACACTCAACACCATGTCAAATGGCACATGCCTATCTCAAGATCCACCAAGCCAATTGGGACGAATGGCATATCAGCACAAAGCTAGAGTCAAGGAGAGTCCAATGGAGATAATGGGAAGGTGTTATATACATTGATTGGGAGGGACAATGTTGTGAGGACAAGCCCATGCACAGCAAAAAGTCGGATTCTGTGGATTCTACCCAACAATGCACAATACATAACCACAGATGCTTCCATTGCTCATTTCCTTACTATCCAACACTCCATACACTCATTCCTTATTTTTCCCAACATTCCCGACAGTCTCAAGTCAATTTTCCCACACCCAACCACACCGCCAATTTCACCCCTCCCCAGACCTCCATAACCACACATTAAACCCAGCGGTTTTTCTACCTGTTGGTGATGCTCTACCTTCCCCCTTTGCCCACAGAGCATTTCCCAGAGTGGAATCCCATACTTGGATGGTTCAGCATGGTGTAGAGCCTCATGTGGTCTTGACAGCACCTGTCAATGGCCATATCTTAGGAACTACTGCACCAATTGGGACAAATGAGGGTTCTTTGGAAAGCTGGAGACGAGGAGGTTGCTGGCAGGAAGATGGGCGGGTGTCAGGGCACGCTGCCACCGCCGCCGCCGCCGCCACCTCCTTTTCCTGTTGTCTCACCCTCTCATTCTCTCTTCTTTCCTTCTTCTCTTTCTCTATCTTTATACAGATGACCTCTCTTTCTTTCCTACCCTTGTAGCATGGATGCGTCCGATGCTGAACACCCTGTAGGGGCACTGCAATGCCGGACGCACCGCGCACTCCTACTTGTACTTCCCCTCCAACACTTGGGATCGACCGCAGAGCCATCCATGGTAACCCAGCTTCATCCAAGGGTGACGTGGCACCTCCACATGACCCATTCACACATGTATATAAACTAAGCTGAAGCAGGACTGAAGAAGTAACCTTCTTCTCATTTCCCACTTCAGGCAAGTACCCAAGTTTAGTCTGGCTTCCCACCCTAATACATTTCCCGCTTCAGCCTAAGAAGCCACACAGGGACGTAAGCCCGAGTGAGGGCTGCCCACTATATGGTCTCACCGCCCCACTGCCATCCGGGCCGCTAGCGCCGAGCGCTATGCCGCTACCTCTGCCTTCCTCGAGCCGTCCCTGACAGCAGGTGCGGAGTTAACTTTTACAATTTCCGTTTCGGACCCATTGTCACAATTTCCCCATTCATTCATATTTCTTTTATTGTTTCTCTGTTCCTAATTGGAATTCTTTATTTATGGTTGCCTATTGGCCTGTTTGAATTTCCCCATCCCAATCATTTCATTTCCAGTTCATATAAAATAGAAAATCCCTTGTACAGTTGAAACCATCATAACCCATACCTGTCATAAGCCATAACCTGCCATTTGTCACATCCCGGAATCCTGACCCCATGCTCTCCCACCACATCACACCTTCCTAACAACTTCACCAACCCCTACACCATAACTCCCCACTCCCCAAGTCACCTTCCTTCCCAACTGTCTCAGCTCTGGCCTGGTTTGCAGCACACCTTACCTTGGCCACTCCCATCCTGGAAGCTCGGTCCCGAGTCGGAAACATTCGGAGACTCTGGATTTGCTCCGACCTCCCGACGGATCTCTGACATCCCATGACATACCTCTAAACCATTCCCCCTCCCATTTCATTTATTGGAGTCACCCAACATCCTTTGGATACGTAACTCCGCCTACAGAGCTACCCGCATCCTCCAGTGATCCCACTCACATCATCACAAATTAGTCACCTTCCATTTATAGTACAACTGTCATCTTCCTTCCATTCAGTCAGCTAACCTCCTCTTACCCATTGCTCGTTCCCATTCATCCTCCAGCCTTTTACTCCACCCTTCTTGACCTGACACCTCAGTTCCTCGTTAAGGATATCATTCGGCACCTTTCAGTGTTTTCCATTATCACTCAGACTTTGACTAAAGTCCTTCCCATTCCTCCATATATAAATACTTGTAGATTAGAACCTGTAGTTCCCCAGTTCTAATCTTGACTAAATTATGTTACCCCAAGTCCCTCTATGAGTGAATCCCAACCCCTTCCTACAAGATACCTCAGACACATGAAATATAAGGACTAACTGAGATGTAACGGAGGCACAGCGCTCCCTCCGAGTCGCTGAGGCCACATCCTTCTTAGAGCCTCTTGTACCACCCAGCAGACCCAGGCTTCCTGGAGAAGCTTTGGTTCACTACTGGAGCTCTCGGATCCCCTCTAGTTGAGCCCCACCTGCATTCGGACTCACACACTTTCCCCTACATTCAGGGTTTTTGACACCATTACCCATAGAAATTTCTGGGAACCGGTACGGTCCCTATTGGCTAACCCATAAACCTGCCATCCCCCATAAAGGGAAATTTTTATATTGAAATTTGGCAAAATTTGATCCATAACCCATACTAGTATGGGTAACATCGACATGTAAATATTGAAAAATTAAAAGTTGGGAAATTATCATAGTGGATCAAAAATGGGGATTTAGTGAGTAACTAGAATGGCTGCTGTGCCCCCTTGTGATGGGAATTTTTGTATCCAACTAAATCGAATAATGGAAATATTGAGTAGTGTTGTAGGAGAAATAACATATGAAGCTATATTATCAACTGGGGAGTAAAGGCTAAAGAGCCAGTCTACCCTCCATGTGTCAGGGTTCAACACCCTGCCTTAGGGTGCCCCGGACTCCCCACCTACTTTACCCCCTTTTATTCTTTGACTGTTGCCTTGTTGTTGCCTTTGTGTGTTGTGTACATGCGCGCATGGGATAGCGTGGGAACTTTCTGAGCAAGCAGCTTGCCCAGAATGTTCCCACAGGTCACAGCCACAGTTCTGGGCAAGCAACTCACCCAGAACGTTCCCACACTTACTGGGCACTGCCACCTGGATGTCCCCTCTGGGTCACACTACACAACTCTAGGAGCTGTATAGTTGTGGGCATGTGACCCATTCCTTTATATAGCAACCATGCGGGGAGATGAGACCTTTACCCTTCTTCTCATCTCATGCCCCGCATAGGCAAGTGTATATTATCTTTCCTTTTACTATACATCTCATGCCCCGCATAGTGTGAGGACAGGCCAGATGGGGGTTGAGGTCAGGGAGCCTCCGAGTCTGAGGCCAGGCCCTGACATCATACTACTTTATATACATATGTACAAGTGTATGCCAGAGTTGGCAAATACATGCAGCTTGGTAAATAGTAAACAAGCACGCTTTTGTGTGCGATCTCAGCGAGATATAAATGGAATAAAATGGGAAAGCATGTGCAGCCTTCTCAGGCCTTACAGGGATCGACTAAAGTCAACCACATGATTACTGACAGAGTGCACCAACTTTCCCTATCTTGGTGAATATTGAGAACTGAGTTCAATGCAAGAAAATTCCTTAAATACAAGAATTATTTCAGATTCAGAAAGCCTGACTGACTGATCCAACAAAGGAATCACAGTAAATTCACAGAAAAGTTCCAGCAAGAGAAAAGCTCTGCAGGGGTTCTGTTTCCTAGTAATTCTAATGTCCTGAGTTTTAAAGACTAATGTACAACAAGGAGAATTAGCCAAAATACTCAGGCAGGCACAAAGATCTCAAGTGCACATCCCCAAATGAACAAAGATCCCAGAGTTTGTCACTCTTGCAACAATTTCTTATTTGATCACCCCAAGAACACCAAGAAGGGAAGCAACAGGAATACTGTATGTCGGTGAGGGCAAGTATAGGACTGTCCCTGCATATAAGCCCTAATAATTGTTAGGTGCAGACTTGCAGCTAGACACTGTTGCATAGAGTGTTGTTCCTCTCTTATCATGAGAGTGTGTATTTATCTTGGATAGATCTCATAATGCCCAGGCTAAATGTAGAGAATGCCAAAGAGAAACAGATTCTTCCATAAAAGCATGGCTTTGCAGGGATGACCAAAGCAATCAAATGAGAGGGTGAGTGCAAGAGACCAAGTAGCAACATTGCTGGAGGTGGGAAAAATGCTAAGGAATTCCGGACTCAAAAGTGACCTTGCAAGGTAACTCTCCTCTATGGCACTCTCCTCACCTACCATCATAATTCTCCTCGTTTCCAGCTTTCAAATGATGCCTCATTCATCCCAATTGGTCCAGTAGTTCATGAGATATTCATTGACAGGTGCTGTCAAGAGCACATGAGGTTCAACACCATGTCAAATCATCCATATACTAAGGCTCTGTTCAGTAGAAAGAAACCCATTTCTTCTGCCCATTTCTTTTTGTTTCTTCATTCAAAAGGTGACTCATTCTTTCTTGTTTCTTCTGCTACTTTCATCAAGAAATGAGAAGAAACTGACGAGTGTTTGGCATGCCAGTTTCTTTGTCATTTCTTGCTACAGCTTTTTTCTTATAAACCTCACATGTAAATTAAGCATGAATTATTGTTACAAGTATGCCTCTGAAGTGGAAGCAAGCTGATGTCGATGCTGATCTTGGCAACACAGACCCATCCCTCGATAACAAACGACATCATACACCCTGGGCCAAGGGGGAATCCACAAACCCACCTTCCAAGCATGCTGTTTGGAAATCGCATGAGGAAGCGGAGCTCATCCACTCCCTTCTTGAAGTTAAGCGTGCAGGTGGCACCTCAAATATCGGGTTCAAAGACAAGGTTTGGAACTCAGTTTCCACACACTTAACTGAGGAATGTGGGACTGTGTTCAAGCCGAGTGCTTGTAAGAATAAGTATGGCAAGGTGAGTATGAGATTAGTGACTAATCAGACCACTGACTATATCTCCACCGTAGTTAAAACAGGTATACTGGGCCGTCAAAAGACTTTCAGAGCAGTCAGGATTTCCATGGAGCAATGAGAATGGTGCTGATAGAGCGATAAGTTTTTGTTGATACTTGATGCAATGTTGTTTGATATTGCTAGTCTTGCATGTGGCCATTATTGTATATGATGGCATTTTAAAAAATAACGGTATAATCTATGGTACATATGGGATGCCCCGACACAAGCAGTTTCTTTCTACCAAACAGAGCCTAAGGATGTTCCATTTGGGATGATACTCCCAGGATTAGGAGGGTGGGTTGACATCACCAGTGTCTAGAGAATGAACAGGTTTCAATGGTATTTGAGGCAATGAATTGTGAGAATCTAGCACATTGTGAGTGTTCAGTTCTGAACAAGCAAACTAAAATGAATTGCTTATCTACCTAGCACGTTGTAAGTGCTAGGATATTTACAATGTTTTTAGTCATTGACCAAGTCAGTGAAGACAAGAAAGCTCACCTCAGTTCTGAACAAGCAAACTGAGGGAGAGAGACAAGGGTGAAAAATTAAGGCTTTTAAGCCTTCTATGATGCAGCTGGAAAAGAGTAATCAAGAAAGGAATGACGGATGGTGACTTCCAGGTATCCCCGGAAGTTTGCCTGATATTGTGGCCACTGTGGGAAGATGAGAAGTTAGCTTCCTTCTCATCTTCTTACCCACAGTAGGTTGTGCCCTGGATAGGGCTGGTTACACATAGGGCTGTGGACCATAGGGGAGGGTCATGGGGACCTGGGAGTTGTCCCCTGACACTAATTGGACACTTGTTATTTGCAGCTGCCTATTGAGCCATTTGCATCCCCTCAGAGTAATTTTGTACTGAGGAGAGAGCCAAGATTTGGCAGTGCAGTGGCAGTGAGGTCAGACTTAGTGTACAGAGTGGCAACAGTGTCAGCACCTTTGCTTGTAGTTGTCAGGGCACACCCGCCTGACCCGGCTCCACCCGGCCCAACCTGACCCGGTACCCCGCCGGTCCACCCCTCCTTACCTCCTCCCCCTTTCCCTTCTTCCCCCTCATCCTCCCCTCCTCAGTTTCTCCTTATCTTACTTCTCCTTTATTCTCTCTTTATTCTACATGGACAACTTTCTCTGTATCAATGTACAACTGACCCATCTGCAGCACGCCCACCATGTACCCGGCCCGGGCACCTCAGGCGACTTCCCGCTGTGCCCAGCACGCGCGCCTGCACCGGATACCCTCGGGATCTCCCACGGAGACACCCGGGTGGTTACGGCTGTGTGCGAGGGTGACGTGGCATCCGTCATGTGATCCAAGCCGCATGTATATAAACGAACCTGAAGTGGGAACCGAAGAAGTAGCCTTCTTCTCAACTTTCCACTTCAGGTAAGTAGTACAATATTTCTCCTTTAATAATAATAACAACTTTCCACTTCAGTCTAAGTGGCCAGGGACCGCTGTCCCACATCGGGCCTGTCAGTACGCACGCCCGATCCGCCCCCCACCAGGCTCTCAGTCCCGGACGCTATACCCGGACCCCCTCGACCCCGGACGAGTCCCTGACAGTAGTGAGTGGCAGTGCAGTGGCAGTACAGCCAGAGCCAGCATCAAAGTGCTGACAGTGTCAGCACTTCTGCATGAGAGGCTGCATTGGCAGTGCAGTGGCAGTGGAGTCAGAGCCAGCATCCAAAGTGCTGACAGTGTCAGCACTTCTGAGAGGCTGCATAGTGAGTGGCAGTGCAGTGCAATCCTACCCAACCCTAGCAATCCTAGTGTCCAGGGTGCCAACACTGTCAACACTTCTGCATGAGAGGCTGCATAGTAAGTGGCAGTGCAGTGGCAGTACAGCTAGAGCCAGCATCCAGAGTGCTGACAGTGTCAGCACTTCTGCTTGAGAGGCTGCATGTTCAGTGGCAGTGCAGTGGCAGAGAGGTCAGACCTAGCATCCAGAGTGCTGACACTGTCAGCACTTCTCCATGAGAGGCTGCATAGTAGGTGGCAGTGCAGTGCAACCCCACCCAACCCTAGCAATCCTAGTGTCCAGAGTGCCAACACTGTTGGCACTTCTGCTTGAGAGGCTGCATATTGAGTGGCAGTGCAGTGGCAGTGAGGTCAGACCTAGCATCCAGAGTGCTGACAGTGTCAGCACTTCTCCTTGAGAGCCTCTATAGTAGGTGGCAGTGCAGTGGCAGTACAGCCCCAGCATCCAGAGTGCTGACAGTGTTGGCACTTCTGCTTGAGGTTCTTCATAGTAGGTGGCAGTGCAGGGCAACCCTACCCAACCCCAGCAATCCTAGTGTCCAGAGTGCCAACAGTGTCAGCACTTCTGCTTGAGAGCCTCCATAGTAGGTGGCAGTCAGACCCAGCATCCATCCAGCCTCCAGCCTCCAGCCTCCCAGCCTCCCAGCATCCAGAGTCCAGCATCCAGTCCCCACTCCAACTCCCAACATCCCAAATGTTGAGCATCCAAAAAATGGAATCAAGCATCCAAGTCCAAAAAACACCCTATAACCCTATAGCTCATCCACATGATGGGAGATTGCAGTGCTGAGTACTGTTAAAGCCAAAATTTGAACTTGGAGGATCAAATTGCATCAACATATGGATTTGATTTTGAAACTTAAATTTCAAACAACAACCTAGCCACTGAGACATATATCATCATTGATAACAAAGGTTTTCATATACAACATTGGTGATGTCTGAGGGATGAATAGCAAAGCATGAGACCTGTGACAGATTTGTGTGAGGGCTGTGTATAGTTAATCACATCTTCTCTGTAGTCCAACACAATGCAGTTGAGAGTGAGTCCTTGGCAACTATTAAATGTGGTGGAGTATGCCAATCTGAGAGGAAACTGTTTGTGATGGATTGTGTATTGCATATAGGGAGGTTGGAAATCGAAATTGATGTGAGGAATTAGGTAGGAGATGTGTGCATGGTTGCTTTGATTGAGAATTTGAACTTCAATCCAACATGGACAACAGTTTATAATTAATACTCATTGGTTTTTCACCAAACCTCTTAGCACAGAAAGGTTTCTCAGTAGAGCATATAGCACTGGGTTTGAGTTTCAATTCATGATGGAGTGCTTCCATGGACTTCACCAGAGCAAGATAATCAGCTGAAGTGACAACATGAGAGTTGTTTACTGTTCCTTCGTTGTTGACAATGGCATTGTAACTGAAATGAATAGCTGTGTGAAATTGTAAGATTGATAGTAATCATGGGTAGTATCTACCCAAAGCATGTAGCTCACTCATGTGGGTTGCCTTATTCCCAGTTGTCAGGGATGGCTCAAGAGAGGCAGGGTAGCAGCATAGTGCTTGGCGCTAGTGGCCCAGACAGCGGTGAGGCAGTGAGACCATATGGTGGGCAGCCCTCACTCAGGCTTGTGTCCCTGTGTGGCTTCTTAGGCTGAAGCAGGAATGTATTGTTATTAAAATGGAAAGCTAAACTAGGCTGAACTACTTGCCTGAAGCGGAAATGAGAAGAAGGCTGCTTGTCCTGCTTCAGCTTAGTTTATATACATGTGAAAACAGGTCACGTGGAGGTGCCACATCAGCCTCAGATGAAGCCAGGTTGTCATGGGTGGCTCTGCAGTCGATCCCAAGTGTCAGAGAAGAGAAACACAAGTAAGAATGTGCAGCATTGTAACAGGGATTTGCAGGTGTACCATAAACGAGCCAAATCCTGCGATTCTACCATGCTCAACAAACTCCTCACATCCTAGACACATAACACACACTCTCACCCACTTCTCATACACACTCCTTATTTTTCTGATTCCATTTCCAGTGTCTAGAGCCCGATGTTTCTAATGTGATGTTCTTTCCTTATTTGTTTATCGGACTCTTCTGTGACCCACTTTATAGTTTGCTAGAGAGTATCAGCACCTTACTCTAGAGGACCCAATACCACCTCAGCCTGACCAGTAGTGAGATTTCTATCCTCCCTTGTTCCTGTCTCAAGTCTAGTTGGATAGACCCATTACAGCGTGTCCAGTGTCATGGTACCCATGCAGGATGCTCGGCATTGGACACGTCTGTGCTACAGATGTGAAAAAGGGGGGTCATCCATATAAGAAGAAGAGGGAGGAGAGAAAGAAAGAAACTGTTAGAACTGGGCAAGGGCAGACGATTCCAGAGGGGAACTGGAGACTTAGCAAGGAGGGACCTTGGCCTGAGTGACTCATGTGGAGCACTGTGCCATTGCTGTTTGTCCATTTGGTCCTTAATTTCAGAGGCAGTGAGCAGGAAGTCTCTAGGGGGCATTTCAGGTCGATTTTAGACTGAGGGCCTAAAACGAGTATGTACAAGCACCTGTATATAATAGAGAGACGAAAGCACAAGGAAGTCAAAGGGGGTCTGAATCGGAACAAAGGCATCTGAACGGGGACAAAGGGATGATGGAAGCGGAGTGGCACCGAAGGTCATAGGTTAGAACCTGTGGTTCATCCAAAAGGAGATAGGGAGGGCGAAGCCCAGAGGGGCAGGAGGATGAGGTGAAGTGGGGTTGATGACTAACTGGCTAAATGTAAGGAAGCAGTAGTCCAAACAAGGATGAGGGAGAAGTGCAAAATGTATACTACATGTTAGACATGGGTCCAGGGTCAGCACTGAGGGTCACCATTGTGGGCTGCTGTAGGCCACAATGGCCGCAATGCTGCGAACAAGGCCTGAGGGTAGGGCATTTGGTCTCAGCAACTCTAAAGGAGTGCTGTGCCCCCTAGCTGTCTCTTGGCCCTCATTTCAGACTCTTGCTGGGGTCAGGACTTGGGGAGTCATGGTCAAATCAATATTAGAGCTAAAGTACTATAATGAATCATACAGGATATATATAGGAGGAAAGAATGAATGGAAGTAGACTCAGGCCAAAGGCTGAAGGGTCTGGAAGCAAAAGGGAACAAGGAGCAGGGTTGGCCACACAGTGGCTGGCAATGACCAAGGGTCAAAACAAACAATAACAGATAAATAAAGGAAGGAGCAGTATTGGCACCAGACTTGGAGTTGGGCTGGAGTCAGGTGCAGGGATGGTAGTGGCCCTGTAGGGGCCAGGTGGGCAGAGTAGAGGAGTCACACTTGGCATGGTGCTGGAGGTGGACTCAGGGTG